GTGAGGACGAGTTTTCCGTCTCTTGGGGCAGTGGACGAGTTATCCGTCTACGTGGACGAGATTCCCCGTACCTTCAAGAGCGAAAAAGGCGAAAAAATCGCGAAAAAATCACTAAGGAATCACGAAAAAAAAACGAGGCATGGAGTCCCCTTAGGGACGAGTTTTTTGCTCAAAAGGGCATTATGATGCCCTTCGAGCAAAAATAGCAAAAATCCCTTTGCTTTCCGGCACAGGTGCCGAAAAGCAAAAGTACCGGCCCTTTTCAGAGGGCCAGTGGGGATGGGGCGTTTTAAAGCAAACTATCCTTGACTACCCACATCCACATCCTTAACCATCACTCTCCTCATAAATCAACAGTCTGCATATTTCCGCGGGATTTTGTGTATTTCTGCTAATTAGCGCCTTGCTGCGCCGGCTCAAGCGGGTCGTAACGATCAAGCGATTGATGCGCCTGAGTCAGGCGATTCGGTCGTTCGAACTGCAAGCGCCAATCGCTTCAATCGCGAAAGTGCTGAACGCTCGGTCTTAGCTTTCGCACAGAGTAGTTGCAATGGTTTTGGCTTCGCTTTCCTACGACATTTTTACTTTAGATTTGTAATTTCGAACTTCAATTGTACATTCCTTTGGCCCGGAGGGGGGATAGAAGAAGTGCTTCAAAAGCCGCTATTTTGGCTTTTCCTCTTAAAATGTTGCTTGTCGATATGTATACAAAATTTGCAAATTCAGGATTTTTTTGACATGTAAGCAAGCGTTCCGGCGATGCTGGGATTTCAAGACTGCGCGTTGAAGCGCTGACATGTTGCCTCCCGGCCTCAGGAATATACAGTCAAAGCTCAAAATTGCAAATCTAAAGTAAGAATTCCGAATGAAAGTGAAGCCAAAACTATTCAAAACACTTCTCTTTGAAAAGCTTATCACTGAAATTTGTAATCAAAATTTTCACTTGGAATCATAACTAAATTGAGCATTCTCACAAAAACATGGATCACCGAAATTACATCGACTAGATTTAGCACAGTTTGTCAAAAAGCAGGAAGTAAAGTAAAACTAACGTAGATGTCGAATCTGCACCAACATGGCCACAAAAATGCACTCCACCATTCTTGGCACAGGTCTGTCGCACAGCAAAACATCCCATACGTAAAGAAGGTCATGAATCGCGAACTCTCGACCAAATAGCAATCGCAGCCACCGGCTAAAGATAGTATCATCAGCAGATCACCTGCCGTTGGAGAATTTTTCGATGCAGCCTCCTTGAAAGTCCTTCCTCTTTTACGACCTCTCCATCCCCCATCCTGACCATCTTTCTAGATTCTTCCAACTGCCGGTCACTCTTCCAGATATTCCACAAAGTCCTCCACTTTCTTCAAAAAGAACTGTCATTGGGCGGAGGGACAGGATGTGGGCTACGTGAAAGAAAACCGATCTTCAAAAGCAAATACGATCTCCTCCTCCTCCTCCTCCCTCTAGTAACCAGATATGACTATCTCGTGAGGATTCCCCTGATCATCACCGATAAATCCAAGATAAATCCAAATTTTTATTGCAAAATTTTATACAGATCCTTGCAAATTGCAAACGATAGAGCGTTCGATGGGGCGTGGATTTGAGCGTTGCCAAGGCGGACTTCCATCACCAATGTCATCCTGGGCAGCAACCATTGGCCCTTGGGGCTGTTCTGGCTGCGAAGTCATGCCCTCACGCTCTACCGTCTGTAGGCATCACAACCACACAAATGTATGAGGGGAAAACTGCAAAGCAAAAACTGAAAACTCACATTCCGTATAACTGCGGCGGAATATCGAGGGAATACAAGTGGTCAGCGAGCACAGGATCAACAGACTGAAGACGTTCACCGATAGCAATCAATTCACGCATAACTTGATTTGTAGGGGCAACATCTTGAACACTGAAACGGTGGTGTTCAAAAATGTCCGCTCTCATTGAAATATCGAATAATGCTGCGCTAGGCTGCGTTCACACTTTGCGCCAGCGTCTCGAGCGACCAGGAAAGTACAGATATCGACACAGTGTTCTGAGCGTACGCCAGCAATTGGGCGCTTTGGCAGTTTTGAGATTTTGGAGAGCTGGAAACACTGGTGTACGCCTATACTTTCCTAGTAGCTGAAAGCTCAGACGCGAAGTATAAACGCATTCTAAAGCTGGGCTCTTCAAGGGTGTTACGCATTGATACCACTCTTTTGTGATGTCAAATATCAAAAGACAGCAACACTCTTTGAGGTCAAGAAACGGTCACATATATGTTCATGAACTCAAAGATAGCACATTCATGCGTCCCAATAAGTTAGCCGCCAACATATTTGCATGAAGAGGGGGGGGGGACAAGTGGGCTCCATTGAAGGCGTCCCTTGAGGTCAGCACACAACCGAAGACAGGAAACTACGTCATTGGCGCGTCCATTGTATTCCTCTCTTCATTGTCGGAGAAAACGAGTATTGCAGGAGCGAGGCAATGAAAATGAGGTTCCGGTCATTCGACCAACACAACTATTTCCCTCCCCAGTCTCAACTTTAGCCCAGAGTAAACGCGCACAGTCGACCTGCATAAGCGCGTCAAAAGCTCTGCCTACTGTTCCAAAAAATAATAACTGTACCGCAGGAAAGGTCCTGACTCCTGAGAGAATGGTCTCGGTGTTGTCGCCGGCGGAGAGCCATCTTCATACCACTTCGTCACTTCTAGCATTATTTCACAGAACATTCCGCTAAAAATGTCAAACAGTCAGTGTGATCACTTGTAAACTTTATAAGAAAAAAAGACTGAGATGCAAAACGTACTAGCTATCGCTTTCAAGATAATCCGGACTGTACACGTGGGAAAGAATAGAGCGATCTTCATCTGACAGCATCCTGGAATCATTGCTAAATCAAACGAAATCATATCACATATATTCGACTTTCGATTCCCTTTCTCTCAATAGTAACGGTGAAATAGCGTTGTGTTGTCAAGTAATTTTGGCTCCGAGGACTGAAGTAGGGTCTACGAATAGATGAAATAAGCAAATGAGTAAATACATAAACAGCACGGATCGCCTTAGTTGGCGCTTTTTCCTGGTTCCTATCGATCACTGTCTACCCCTCCACTGGGTATCTGTGAATTCCTGCAGGCAAGAGTCCACAGGTATCGCCAAGACGAGACGTGTAATTTTATAGGGACCAGCAAGAGACGAAAGCGCAACCCCTCCTGAGCCGAACAGCCAATAAGAGAGGATTTTCCAGAGGAACTTCATTTAGGACGATGTCCGCGAAATGTGCTTCTAAGCGAGTTCGGTCTTACTATGAATGGGACCTGACTGACTCCACCAATCGCACGTGCCTTCAAGGAAAAAACATGTACTACAGAAGCTGGCTTTTATCTTCATGAATCTCCACAAAAATTAAATCAGATTAATACCAAAAAAAACATAAAATCATCTCACAGCAGTGTAGTGGTTCAAAGCTCGGTCCTTTCAATATAAGTACAAACAGGATTATGAACTTTTAAGCAAAGTTGTCTAGCTAAATGACTCACTTCAAACCGCCTGTCTCCAGGCAATGGAAAAATGACTGTTGATCAGAAAAAAGGACAAACATCACTGGAGCAAGGATTTCGTGCATTCCCTTAAACTTTCAACGAATTTTCACTAGACTTCGTAGATATCAATATCAATTAATAAGAGATATCAATTAATAAGATCACCTGTTTGTACGATACGAAGGGATTTTCTTTCGCATAAATCAAGAGAATATCACACATCATACGACGGATATGGTCCTGTTGGAAGAATTCCAGCTCGGGAAACCTAAAACGTTGACTTATAGGTTAACTTGTAGGGAGTATTTGAAGCATTCCTAGGGCAACAGCAGAATTTACGTAATCGGAATACTTCGGGCTAAGCTTTGACGGGGGTAAGGGAGATTTCGCAGCTCGTGAGCTACCGTGACCCGGGCCGTCGCAGTAACCCCTTCCCCTCCATGGCCTGAGGGCTTACTCGGCATCAGCTCCTCACAATGTGGTCAATACGGTGAAACCTGTATCTTGCAGGCCGTATTCGAGGAGGTATAACACAACATGGCAACAAAAAGTAACCCAAACTTGGGGAACTAAATCAAGCACCCATAGTCCTATAGCAGCGATTACTCGAGCTGCGGAATCCTTCTTGTACAGGGGAAAGAGGGTGGTGAACCAGCTTTGATTACCTAATCCCACTATTGCAAAGAGAACCCTCCGAAAGCCCCTCCAAGGTTATTAGCTAGAAAACTCGCAGTACGCAAAGTAAGAAACACAACTGATTATAGATGGCGCAATAGGGAACACAGCTGCCCGGTAAGGAGAAGATGCGGGTTCGAATGGTCCGACTTTTGCCCACAACTCAGCATTCTTGTGACAACTGATTATGACCTACGTTCTGCCAACATCCTTCAATATTATATCACGGAGATCGTGGTCGGCAAAATACTGCTGCCACGGATTCTGCAAAGTGATTATAAAGGAACTAGATCAAAAAACAGT